CACCAAGTGCACCCAGGTCGTTGGACAAATGTAATCCCACAGATGGGTTTACCTTTATCCAATGTAGGAGTTACCCAGACAACATTACTTAAGACATTCTTAATGAGCACTATGGGGCCTTTATCCCCATCCACAGTATGTAGGAGGTTTGACTGAGCAGGGCCAGCTGGCTTGGCAGATCCTCTGGTATTGACTAACCAGGTGGCTTTTGCTAAATGCATGTCCCAGACTTTGAAAGTTCCACCACCAGTGTAGCTTTTAGCGACCCATTGTATCACTCAGTTTTCCCAGAGGCTGGCGCATGGTAGGGAATGTGATCTATCCACTCAATGCCATGTTCTTTGGCCCAGGCGTCTATGAGGTTGTTTCGGAAGTGTGTCCCATTATCTGACTCAATCCTTTCTGGCGTGCCATGCTGCCATAAGACTTCATTCTCAAGGCCTAAAATAGTGTTCTGGGCAGTGGCATGGGACACGGCATGAGTTTCCAGCCAATCAGTGGCTGCTTCCACCATTGTAAGCCCATAGTGTTTGCCTTGCTGAGTTTGTGGGAGCGTGATATTATCAATCTGCCAGGCCTCCCATATTTATATTTTGATCATCGTCCTCCATACCAAATGGACTTTAACTATTTGGCTTCCTTGATTGTGGCACATGTCTCACATTCATGGATTACCTGTGCAGTAACATCCATGGTCAAGTCCACTCCTCTGTCACAAGCCCATCTTTGTGTTGCATCTCTTCCCTGATGGCCTGAGGAATTATGAGCCCAGCAAGACAGAAATTGTTCACCCTTACAGTGCCAGTCCATATCTATTTGAGACACCTTGATCTTGGCAGCCTGATCCACCTGTTGGTTGTTCTGATGCTATTCAGTGTCCCGGCTTGTGGGTACATGAGCGTCTACCTGGCGTACTTTCACAACCAGATTCTCTACTCGAGCAGCAATATCTTGACATAATTCAGCAGCCCAGACGGGTTTGCCTCTGCTGCCAGTTGCTCCGTTTCCACTGCTGTAACCACCCCCACAGCACCCTTGCCACCATCCATGAGTCAGTACAGAGGTAGAGCACCGGC